AAATCAATGTACCGGTGGAACAACCATGGAACAACAGAGGGACAACACAGAGTACATTGTCTGCTAAAATTCAGACAGAAAGAAAACCAATAAGGTTGGAAAGTGTATTGGTATTCACATATAATCTCTAGTTAACACACCTGATAAAATCGTTGTATGTTGCAACCAAAACTTATTTTGGAAAAAAAAATGCCCTGAGGACGGTCGGCTGGTGGTCGGGTATTGTTCAGTTGGTGGTCGGCTAGTGTTTCTCTGTAATTCGAGGGGATCGGCACACGTTCTGGAAGCATTTTGCACTGTAACAGAGAATCAGGAGTGATTCTTCTGTAGGTTGGGCACATTCCTAGCCAAATTCGACCCCCCGAACACTGCTGACCCACTCCTGTACACCAGCCAAACAGGCCAACACTCTAGAAAAACAGTGAATGTTTTAAACATTTTGAAACATTCGGCTGGAACGTAGCCGAACCGTAGCCGGATTCCCCAAATGCCAGCTGACTTCTAACCATGGTTGGCGAGAGTTCAGCTAGCGCCGGTTCCGGAGGTCAAACTCATGAAGGTGTGACAGGGGTTTAAAGGCATCCAATGCAGTTTTCAAGGCTTGGAAACCAGATTTTTCAAAGTCAAAATTCCAGTCTTTATCTACCTACTGAGTTGAAACAAGTTCACTATCCCAATGTATATTGACATTCATGAAACGAAAATGCAGAAAAATGGTTATTGGAAGCACCATTATATTGGAAGCTGATTTTTAGGGTACCACCCAGAAAATAATTATAAAGGACTAATCTTGGGGCTTGTTTCTGCAGTTTTGGACATTTAAAAAATGTCCAATTTATGAAACAATGATACATATGTGCTAATGTGGGACAGTATGTTAATCTCCAAGCAGATCCCTCTCGGTGGCAAAAAGACAGTGTCAAATTGGCCAGGCAGTATCCATTAGCCAGAGAAGGTCGCCGGCCACCGACGGGCCGACAAAAAGAGGCCATAGATAAAAAGTTCACAATCATTCCCCCACAACCTCTGCTTGGAGGGTAACAGTATGTATCAATATCATACAGATTGCCGTATTCAGAGTGTTTCAAGTTTTGCCACCCTAAAATTACATTGGATGCCTTTAAAAGGAAGCCCCAAAATCACTGATAAGTCTAATGTTGCACTCGTCTGCAATATTAGCAGGAAAAAAGGGAAACGACAGTCAGCAAGTATTTCTTATCAAAAATCCCACAAACACTCGTACTTCCTTCCTCATCATGGTAATACCTCGTGATAGACTACATATTATGTTTCTCCATTTGTATTACATATAGCGGGTTTTGTCCTGTGCTGCATCCATTGTGCAAAGATCAACTCGACTAGTTGGCAGGTCTTGGTCTGTTTGTTCTTCGCAGGTTCTTCTCCATTTCTTCGTCGCATTGTTGTTAATTGAGGTGAGTACTTTTACCCTTCAGACATAGTTTTAGACAAAGTTATAGTTCTAGACAGCTACCTTTATCATGTAGACTTTAGTTATTTTATACTCTATTTTATTGTTCTTTTATGTTTTGTAATTTGCAATTAGCCTCCGGGCACGAATTTGCAATAAACTTTTCAAACTTTTCACTATTACTACACAATCTTTCTTTCTTTCTTTCTTTCTTTCTTTTTCTTTCTTTCTTCCTTTATTTGTTCAAGAGCCAGAGCCAGAGCTATCCAACTAGCGTACTTGTAGCTTTATTTTTATATTCCGAAACATGTAATCACAAGACGTGGTGACGGCACACTCAAGTTTTTTTTTTCAACTAATATTAATGCCGCCACCAACACAGGGACAGTACAATACTCATTTACACCTGAGCGAAGTGAGGAAAGTCGTGTAAAGTGCCTTTCCCAAGGGCACAAGATCGGTGGCATGTCAGGACTCGAACCCTGGGCCTCTGGTTCCGAGTCGAGAACGCTGCCGCTACGCCACACGACCCCACCCCATACTTGTAGCTATTGTCAAGGGTTAGCCAAGGAAAGAAATACATACAATTACAGTTGTACAAGGAATCATACACTTGCATATGTCAGAAGCGATGGAAGACGAAATATATTTTGTCTTCAACTGCCCCTTCAACAAAAAGAGCTTTTCAAACAAGCCACCAACTTCATCATAATTTCTAAAATGTTACTGACAAAATGAAAAACACATCCCTGTTAACCTTAGTAAACCCACTCATTGACATTGCAGAAAAAATTGGAAACTTTAACTGCCACCGAATCCAAAGAAAAAACTCAAACCCAAGAAAGATTGTATTCCGTACCAGTTCTTGGAATAGTCACTTGTTCATTGTTACCTTGTACTGTCTGTCTCTACTCTTTCTATACATTGTTTCATGTTGCAACTAGCTTTATTCGTGCGGAAGAATTTCCGTACAGCTCGCGAAGATTTGTTTTTTGTTTGTTTGTTTGTTTCGCATAACCGCCTTTAGGTGTAACACACTAGTTTTGTACATGTACGTACAAGTGGCGCAAGACCAGACTGTAAGGTTTAAGCCACTCACACCGGGAAGGTCCCCTATTCTTTTCGATACGTGTGGTGGGTTGGGTGGCTCTCCCCAAACACAGGACCTCCATTAAACGCCCGAGGGACGTCCCTAACCGAAGCTAGGTACTCATTTACACCTGAGTGAAGTGCGGAAAGTTGACCGTGTAAAGTGCCTTTCGCAAGGGCAAAAGATCGGTGACTTGGTAGGATTCGAAACGACAACCTTTTGGTCCTGAGCCGAACATGATACCATTTACGCCACACGAACCCTCATTAGCATCTAGCCTGAGGTTGTAGCTTTCATCAAATAACTTAAGACAATTACGTCTTTGAGATCGCTTTCTTTTTCCGAGATCGCTTTCTTTTTCCGGTGCAGTCCTCTGGAACTCACTTCCTCCTCATGTCAGAAATGCAAGAACTCTCTGTGTCTTCAAGACTATATTTTCTTTACTCAACAGTTAATATGATTTATTTGTTTAATTTTGCTTTTAGACATTGATAAATATTATGCAAATTCAGTTTCATTATCATTTATATCATTTGTCATATTTATTTAGTATGTTTTCTCTACTTTTTTTAGTCTGTTTTTGTTTCTTTTATCACAACTACCTTTTGATTGTACTTAAGTTACCTTTTATTATGTTATGTATGACACAGGGAGCTTTGAAAAGCGCCAACATGGCGATATGCTAACCTGTATAAATAAATAAAAATGAAATGAAATGAAATTACGTACGCTGCGATGTACTGGTGCAGCGCTGGGAGAAGAGTTTTGTCACGTGAACAGAACGAAAACTACTGTAAAATTTATCAATCTTGCCGTTGCAAGCTTCTTCTACGCTCTTGCTATTTACAAATTTAGAGCCACACCACTTTACACTATGAATGACGTTTGCCCTTGCATTCTTGAAAAGTTTTAGTTTCAAGATTGTTATCGTGACGTCTCTTTTGCATTGTAAGCGAAAAGATACACCTGGAAACTACATAGCACGTTTAAAGTATTCCCGATTTTTTGTCAATAGTCCTATATATTTCCTCTTGTGAAGTTTTTTTTTTGTAGGTGACTATGGGTTACAAGATGGCGATGCATTATCATAACATTCCGTGTAGGTTGTAGTCATTTTTTGAAGTAACCATGGGCTACAAGCTGACGACGTGCTATGATAATATTTCATGTAAGTTGTAATTATTTTTTGTAGGTAACCATAGGATACAAACTGACGATGTATTATGATAATATTTCATATAGGTTGTAGTTATTTTGTAACCATGGGCCACAAGCTGACAATGTATTGTTATGTGGGTTAAAGCGATATTATGTAAGATTTTCACTATTTTAAACATCGTTGTTTTACACATTTTCTTGCGCTATAAGCCTAAAGAGTAAAAGATCTGAAACTGAAACTGATCAACGTCGTTGTGCCACGTTTTGGAAAACTGCCAGCTTCTATTTAAAGCGCTTGCGCCCACCGTGGTCATGTTTTGTGTTTACATTCTTTTTGGAGCCTCCTAAAAATACAGCGGGCCTGGCGCAACTTATTCTCGCGCTGCGCTGAGTCGCCGGAAAAGCGAAATAGCGACGCTAATATGTTGAAAGTTATTAAAAATGACAATCTAGATGAGAAACTTTCAATCATTTATATTTACGGTTTGGGCGCAAAAATCTTACATAATACCGCTTTTATTTATTTTTTTTTAGGCCACAGCAAGTAAATTTTATGGATAACATCCTCCACAGACTCCAAATCTAATGCGAGCGGGCGAAAAAAAACAAGGCGCGCCAAAAAAACAAGGTTCCGACATTTTAAAATTTTGACTCAATTATTGTACAAATGGTTTTGATTCAGTGGGAACATCACACATACACAGCCAGCATCACATATCACTGCATCAAAGTAAGAAACAAAACATTAAATCAGAGCCTTTTCTTGTCTCCTCTCTTCATGTTTATCTGCCATCCACCTTCCTGTATGGCAACAGACATCTATGCCCATTTTCGGCATGTTGACCACTGTCAGAAGGCAACAAAATTTCTTTTTTTTTTCAAAATCAGGCGAAAATTAATGCGCGCGCTGATGTCATCCATAAAAAATAATTGCTTTGGCCTTATGACGATTTACCACATTTGTGAAAGGATTGACATAACAGGTGACTATCACCTCTTCAATCTCTGTCACCTTTTTGGCGACGTCTCAGGGAGGAGCCTAAACATTTTGTCCACAGGAATGGAATGTCCACAGGCATGTCTCTGACCCACATCTATACCCACATTCCTGGAAACCCTTGGGAAGACCTCTCTTCCCCGAATGGCCCTATTTTCTGTGACCCCGGGGCTCGTTCACTATACACTCAGGGGAGGACTGTACCAAGTCTTCGGCAAAATCATGAAATGATGGCAGTACCATGCAAACAATAATCCTAACAGCAACCACTGTCGCCATGGCAATGTATGTTTTCATTGCCAGTCTTGTTAGTTTTTTAGGTAACCATGGGCTACAAGCTGACGATGCTCCTGGGTGTGACTTCCCTTTTGCTGGTACTGGCGATGGTGGACCAGACAGAGTCGGCCTGCTGCCGTGCGGAAAGATGCAGGGGGTGGTGGAAGGGAAGGTGGTGCAGATGTGGCGACGGCACCGGCGTAAATATATTTATTTGTTGTTGTTGTTGCTGTTCTTGTAGAACAAACATCCCATGAAATAGCACTTCGGCAGTACTTACTACGCCTGCGCAAAATCCCTATTTTTCATGGATTTCGTTGGATTTTTGGTCAACGTTAAATCAGAATTTTGACTGCTACTTTGAACTTCATTAATTGCTGCGTTTCGCTGCTAACCAACATGGTGACGAGCGTTCATGCTAGTTTTCTCCATTGGTAGAGTGGTAGTATTCATAAGTAGAAAATGTTGTTTTTTGATATAAGAGAACATGTGAAAACTAATCCATCTCAACCCTAAACTAAGCCAACGCCCTACTGTGGATACGGACCCTGCAACATTTTCGGATGTAACTGCCGAGGTGGCTGCAGACGAAGCAAGAGGTAAATTGATATAATAAATCTAATTTTACTGAAGTCACATTTCCAAACCGGGGCCCTGCCGGGCAGTTTTATGGAGCGAAAGATATGGTATATGGTATAGAATACAAAAAAATCTATTTGCGTACATCCTTGACAAAAATTGATTTTTCGTTAATCGAAACCGCCCGGCCGGGCCCCGGTTGGGAAATGTGACGTCGGCATTTCTAGAAGACTCATCTTCTGAGGTGAACTGTTATCTTGATACCCATTTATGATTTTTACATTGCCATTTTCCAAAATCATTTTTTTAAAACACTTGTAACCTGTAAATTGCCATAAGATTCCAAACGGAGCTCTTCGAAGGCATTAACAACTATGTTCTGCATTGCTTTGTAGGACTCACCTAGACCTTCTGTTTCGAATTATTTCTTACATGTCTATGTATCATGTTAGCATGAACGTTAATCTGAGTCGGTAAAATACATACTAGTAATGAAAATTAAACTGTCCTCTAACTCAACCCTCGCTCAACCGAGACGGGGGCGGTACCGACTTCCGACGAACTTTGACCCAGTGCTGACGTCACACGTGGTTCAAAGGCACGTGTCCACAGCACTCCGAAAGCTGATGAAGAGCTAAGGATTCGGTCGAAAAAAATCCTGTTGAGTAATTTTTCTTGAGTTGGTGAACAGTTTAATTTTCATTATGATTACCGAAGGAAAACACATTGTTTTTGCGCAGTTTTTCTTGCTCTTCTTCTTCTCCAAACACTAACCTGTGACCTGGCCAATGACCTGATTTGTTGACGTCTGTCACCATGGTACTTGGTGTTGGGTTACAGAATATTGCAATCTTATAGCAGGAGATTTAGACTCCTGTCTGACGATATATATGAATGTGTTTGAGTAAGAATTAACAGAACAGACCATATGCGAAGGTAAACATTATGCTTTGCAAATGTAAATATTATGCATTTGCTTTGCAAATGTCCCTTCTCTAGTAATATTATGTATCATGTTCTCAAGGTCAGCGGCAGGACCTGCGGAAGCCCGTCTTGAGTCGCCCCAAGGAGAGAACGCCATGCCCGAGGGCGGATTTGAAGATCACGACGCCGACCAAGACATGAGGCTGTCCAAGGAGGAGGCTCTGGAGATGCTGAAGAAGTTGGGGACGGTGGACATCGGCAATCTGCCCGATGATTGGTTCACCTCTCTGGACACCAACGGTAACGGGTATATCGACCCTGAGGAGTACGACTCGGAGGAGTAGTCCCGGGAGGTAAGAAGAAACATAACCTGGTGCCCAGTCTATCGTGTTTGGGGCGGGTTTTCCTCGGGGCTGCAGGAGCTCTTCCCCGTCCGACTCAGCTAGTCTCCCCGGCGTACCAAACTCTTATTAGCAAACACCCTACAGGCGTAACACTCCTACCGGGCGGTCTGCTAGACCAAAGACAACCTGCTCCAACCACGATAGACTGGATACCAGGTTAAAGAAACATCTGCAGTAGACTTCTCCAGCAGTTAGAAAGTTCCTTGGTGAGACAGTAGACCCTTCATATTAACCAAGCTTGTGAAAGGGCATGTCAGCCGAGTAAGAACCTTCTCTCTTCGAGTCAAATTGATCCATCCATCCGTCCATCCAATCATCCATCCATTCATTCATTCATCCATCCATTCATTTATTCTTACGTCTATCCACTAATCTATCCATCCATCCATTCATCCAGCTATCATTTCATTCATTCATCCATCCATCCATCGATCCATCCATCTATCCATCCACTTATCCATCTATCAATCCATCCATCCATCCATCCATCCATCCATCCATCCATCCATTGACCAATCGAACAATCGATCAATCAATCGTTTAGTAACAGAAAAAAAAACAGGAATACACGATGGCTAACATATTCTTATTGTGGAACAGGTCACTTACATTTAAGCATATATTTCTTCCCTTTTCCACCAGGACCCCGGAATGGCGATGGTCCCGCTGCGCCCTGCGTGCGCCGATCACCGTCAGGGCCTTCCAGTCATAACTCCAGAACACCGCATAGATTTTAGCTATTTTTGCCTTATCTAATCATGGCAATACTTTAGAGTGGATATCAGAGTTCAATATAACAATGAACATCACTAAATTCATCTTCACGAAAGGGCATATGCCAAAATTTGAATTGGTTACTGAAGGGATATGTCTAAGGCACCCCCATACCAACTATCAGGTCATTTACTAATAGGTACATTACAAGGACACAGGAGGCCAAATGTACATTTTTGATCTGATAATCAAGTTGGTCTGTTATCCCGAAGGGTCGTTTTTTTTGTATTCCAAAAAAAACGTTTTTGTATTCCAAAAAAAACTTGAGTGTGGGGACACACTCAAGTTTTTTCAACTTATATTAATGCCACCACCAACACAAGAGACAATACAGTACAATACTCATTTTCACCTGAGCGAAGTGAGGAAAATCGTGTTAAGTGTCTTTCCCAAGGGTACAAGATTGGTGGCATATCTGGACTCGAACCCGGGACCTCTTGGTTCCGAGTTGAGCACGCTACCGTTAGGCCACGCGACCCCACACCGTCGTTAAGGGTCGTTAAGCCTGCTACAAAATTTAAAATACAATGGGTACGATTCCTGAAAAGATAGAAAGAAACATCATACCATCTTTTCTGATATCCTGCTCATAGCCTGTAACAAAGATAACAAGGTTCCTCCTTCAACCATGCAAAAACTTTCATGTCTTTATAGGGCAAGACTTTGACCTGTTTGTAATGTTGCTCCTTTTCATCTACTCTTCACAACTTCTTCAGATTCAGATTCTACCTACACAGAGGTCTTTTGTAGCCTGTCGTCTTGTAAAACTCCAAGGAACCTATAGATCAGCATTTGCGGTAGCATGTAAACAAGATTTCTGGCATTAAAAGAACATGCATGATGACAGACGTTGTCAGTCATTGTTTCTTGACAGTGTGGGTTACCTTAGTGAAGTAGTGCGAAGAGTGTATAACAATGGCCACAGCAAGTAAATTTTAGGGATGACATCCTCCGCAGACTCCAAACTAGCGCGCGATAGGGCGATAAAAAAGGCGGGCCAAAACCCCAATATTCCTACATTTTTTTTTCAAAATTTGACATCAAAAACCTTGCTTAACAAGAAATGATGCCTATATTGTGTCACTAAAAAATGAAAGTTTTCAATCAGTATGCAAATGATTTTAGTTCAGTGGGAACATCACATATGGAAGGAATGAAATGTAAGACTATCAAAGTAAAAGTCAAAACAATAAATTAGATCTTTGTCTTGTCTCCTCTCTCCAAATTTATCTGTCATCCACGTTCCGGCATCTATGCCCATTGTCGGCATGTTGGCAACTGTCAGAGGGCCAAAAAATCACTTGTTTTCTTTTTTCAAAATCAGGCGAAAATTAATGCGCGCGCTAATGTCATCCATAAAAATTGCAGAAACACGGACAGGCAGAGAAACAAACCCAAAAAACAATACCTTTTTCTTCTTTAGTTACAGTACTGAGCTATGAAGCTAAGAGGTGCTAGGGTACATGTCACGGAAATGAAAAGTAACCTACAGTGGGTGTCTCTGGAAGACAGACGAAAAATGTCCAGACTATGATGTACAAAATGACTAATAAACTGGTGGACGTATCAACTACTAAGTACCTAATAGCTGCCCAGAAGAGAACAAGAAATAGCCATGCCTTCAAGTACCAGAGTTATCAACCAAGGATTGGGGTGTTAAAGAATTCATTCTTTCCTAGAACTACCGCAGGGTGGAATTCACTGTCACCAAGTACAGTAGGAGCATTGTCAATAGATAGTTTTAAACAATGTCTAGAGTTAGGTGTTCAAGAGTTAGGTGTAACAACAAGTCGATCGGTGTAATGTAGCCAGCTGCCGCCGTGCCGCGTGCCTGCGAAGCTGGTGTGTTACGCCGAAAGGCGGTTATACCGGCTATACAGATACAGAAGCTGGTGTGTTACGCCAAAAGGTGGCTATACCGGCTATACAGATACAGAAGCTGGTGTGTTACGCCGAAAGGCGGTTATACCGGCTATACAGATACAGAAGCTGGTGTGTTACGCCAAAAGGTGGCTATACCGGCTATACAGATACAGAAGCTGGTGTGTTACGCCGAAAGGCGGGTATACCGGCTTTACAGATACAGAAGCTGGTGTGTTACGCCGAAAGGTGGTTATACCGGCTATACTGATACAGAGTCAACCACTTAGCCTAGTAGTTCTCAGTTTCACCACAAAACACGGACACAAACAGCTCGTCTGGGATCACCTGCAGCTGGAACCGTGGGGCAAACGGTTTCACACGGCGGTGCTGAAGTGCCACCTAGCGGATAACAACAACATAACAGACAAGCAAGGTGACATGGAAGTCCGGACCCCCAGAGGAAGGGCACGTGCGGAATGCTGGAGTGGGAGAGTTTAGCAGTGACCGTTCCACTCTACCACTCTATTGCAGAGCATAGGGGTGGTGCCCATATCCATTTCTGTAGCCCTTGGGCGACACACATTTGTGCAATGCACTACAGCAGGGGGCTAGTCCGCTGGTAGTGCTGTGTGTTTGACCTTCCCACACTCTTCCTCATATGTGCTGAGTGCTAAGAAACTGCTAAGAACTGCTAAGAAGTGCTAAGCAGAGAGAGAAGTGTGTACCATCTTAAAGTCTTTGGTATGACCCAGCCGGGGTTTGAACCCACGACCTCCCGGTTACAAAGCGAACACTCTACCGATTGAGTTATTGAGAAGAAGAGGAAGAATGGAAATTTTAATTTCCCTCTAAGACCTTTTCTAATTGTGTCACATTTCAACTCACAAAATTACGCCCTTTCTATATACACCGCGTTAACAAATACAGTTGATAACTTCCATAAACATTTAACTGGGTCATCACAAGTGAAGCAAAACGTATAATTTCCCTCGGTAATATATATTCTGAACTTTACAATGATGAATACAAAAAAGCCGTATCGTCAAAGCACATAGGGTATGAACTGAGAAGAGACGTAGACAGAATTTCATTGGAAAAGACCTTACAGACGAAATGTTACGGTTCGTAAACCATGCGTTTGATTATCCCATACTTTATTGGGCGTGTTAAAGTTACTGTCATATGAAACACGTAAACTACTTTAATGTCCAGGTGTACATCGATGTGGTATTGTTGAACCGAGGGTTTGGTTAATGTTCAATGATAGTTTTAGTCACGGTACATAGAACACTACCTGCGATGACATACTAGTAGACCAAGGAAGGCTACCCGGCCGGTTTGAAGATTTGAATATGGGGGCAAAAGAAGTTCGTAAGCTCCTTCTGTGGAGTGATAACTACTATTAAGGCCACAGCAAGTAAATTTTATGGATGACATCCTCCGCAGACTCCAAATCTAATACGAGCGGGCGAAAAAAAACAAGGCGGGCCGAAAAAAAAAGGTTCCTACAATTTAAAATTTTGACTCAATCATTGTACAGATGGTTTAGATTCAGTGGGAACATCACATATACACAGCCAGCATCACTGCATCAAAGTAAGAAACAAAACATTAAATCAGAGCCTTTTCTTGTCTCCTCTGTTCATAATTATCTCCCATCCACCTTCTGGCATGGCAACAGACATCTTTCACGATGGTCAAATTTGGGCCCAAATATTCCAACCTTTTAATCGAACCGAATCATGTTCGATATGACGTCATTCGAATCGAATCATGTTCGATTTGACGTCAATCGAACCGAACGTTCGTTCGATCCGGGATCACCCGCGGTCATGTACAGTAAAACCCGCCGCTTCAAGCCCGTTTTTCATGGGTACCGCCTAACAGTGAAAAATCTACCTTTTCACAGATATAAACCGATTTCGGGACAGTATATCTATGCCCAGTTTTATAGTGGATATGTAACATGTAACGAAGCTACTGCCGCCATCGTGTGTGACCTTGACGATCGTAATTGTTGTTTACGGGGATATAGGTTACCCCCTACACTTACTCACACGACCTGACATGCGTGTAAACATGATATTTAAACTGCAACAAAAACAAATTCAATTTACCTCAGAAACATTTCAAATTGTTGGCAAGACAAAAATCTCGATCTGTGTCGGACGGATTTTTTAAAGATGGCGGCGTTCTGGAATTATCCGTCTTGGAAGTTGAAAAGGTGCATTTTTTGGCGAATTTTTCGACCTTAGCAACACTTTAACTTTGAAATAAAGAAAACTGTCCGACTCAAATCTTAA